CTCCTCCTCTGACCCCCCCCACTGGGAGCCCCCCGAGGGCGGGGCCCGGGGGCGCCTCCCCCCCGGCCCCCCCCCACTGGGAGCCCCCCCTGAGGGCAGGGCCTGGGCTGCTCCTCCTCTTCCCCTCCCCTTGAAGGTTAAGTTCATATCCTGATAATTTCTGGGTGTGACCCCGACATTGGTATCTGCTCTGTGTTCTGCAGGCTGTTCTGTGTGGCTATAGGAGAGCTGGACATTCCTCAGGACCTGAAGGACAATGGGTAGGGATGGCTTGGGATGGTACCACGAGGGGATTGGCTCGGAAGGTCTCTGCAGGCCCTTCCAGCCTAAGGTCTTTCAGACTGCCTGATGTGGCAGCTGGGGGCCTTGGTCCAGGGTGGGCTGTGGTGCTTACTGACTCTGCGACCTCAGACACGGGCCTCACGCCCCCATGGTCTGTTTCCGCTCTGGCGCTCTCCCAGGAGCGAGGGTTCCCAAGATGATAGGGAGTGAGGCACCACGTAAAATAAAGCATGAGAGGGACACGGAGGGGAGGTGGAAAGAACACGTTTCATCAAAACAGCCACTTCTCCCCCCTCCGCCCCAGCCAAATTCTCCTGCTAAACCTTGGAGGAAAGGAGCAGTCAGAGGCAGCACCGTCCCGGACGCACATCTGCCTGGGTGGGCGCGAGGTGAGATGCTGGTGTGCCTTGGAGGGGAGCCTGGGCACCAGGCAGACAGCCGGGTGCCGACAATCTCCGGCAAGATGGGGTGGGAATAATCAGCAAGGGGAGGTGCTAGGATGAAGGGGGACCGAGAGAGGCTGCTTCTGGAAGGCGGAATCTTAGTGAGGGTGAGGATTTAGTGGAGAGAACCGAGAAGAGGGAGAGGATGCTAAGGACGGGGGACAGTCAGCAGCCAGGAGGCTGGGTCACAGGATCACAGAGGATGGGAGGGGTGCGAGGTATGAGAAACAGGAAAGGGCAGAGGGGCCAGGTGACAGGGCTCTGAAGGCCAAACAGCGTTTTGTATTTGTTCCTGGAGGTGATAGAGAGCCAGTGTCAGACCTACACTTTAGGACAATCACTTTGGTGGCTGAATAGATAATAGACCGGAGTGGGGGGTTGGGGGGTGGGGGACAAGGCAGGCAGACCCACTGAAGCTATTTCAGTAGTCCAGTGAGGTGATGAGGGTCTGCACCACAGTGGGGGCTGGGTCACAAGACAGAAAGGGGCATATCGGGGAGATACAGTAGAGATGAAATCTCAGGCCTTAGCCACAGCTTGGCTATGGCGGGGTGAGAGATGGTAAGAAGTCCAGGATGACTCTGAGGGTGGGAGCCTGCGGGGTGGGAGGATGGTGGTGCCCTCTACAGCACTAGGGAAGGTCGGAGGGGAAAGGGTTTAGGGGCAAAGAGAATGAGTTCTGCTTTGGACATGGCGAGTTTAAGATGCCTGCTGGGCGTCCAGTTCAAGATGTCTAGTTGGCAGTTGGAGATGTGGAACTGGAGATCAGGGAAAGGTTAGGGATGGATAAGCAGATGTGAGAATCGTCAGCATGGAGATGGTCATTAGATCCATGGGAGCCGATGAGACCCCCAAGTGAACTGGTCTGGAGGGAGAAGAGCAGAGGGCCCAGGTAGACCCCTGGGTGAGAGGGTGTGATCCAGAGGAGGCTACAGCAAAGGGGACAGAGAAGGAGCGGTCAGAGAGGGGGCAGGAGAACAGGAGAGAGAAGTGTCCCGAGGCTATCAAAGAGGAAAAGCTGATCAGCAGCGTCAAATGAAGGAGGCGAAGCAAATGAGCACCGATTAAATGCCAGGCACTGAGCTGAGAAAACTGAGGCAGACAGGGCTTCATTGACTTACCCAGCGTCATACAGCTGGTAAGCATTTAAGGCCACATTTGAACTTAGGTCTTCTTGACTCTCCACTGAACCGCCTATCAAAGCCTGCAGAGAGGTCAAGAAAGATGAGGCCATTGAGTTTGTACATCACAAGAACTTCAGTATCTTGGAGGCAGCAGGGTCAGGGCGGAAGCTGGATTGCAGAAAGTTGAGAGAGAGAGGAGGGAGAAGGAAGGAGGGAGGGAGAGAGAGAAGGAGGGGGAGAGAGAGAGAGAGAGAGAGAGGGAAGGAGGGAGGGAGGGAGAGAGAGAGAAGGAGGGAGGGAGAGAGAGAGGGAGGAATGGACAGGACAGTGCCCCAGGAGACATCAGACCCAGCCCAGGCCGGCAGCTGCCTTCCTCAAGAGCTCCATGGGCACTGGGATATGTGTGGGGCAGACAAGTGATGGGGGCTCCAGGTCAGCAGTGGCCTGCTGGCTCCTCATTCTGCTTCTCCTGCCTGGTGGTGATCTCCGGGCTCTCCCCACTCTCTCCCTTGGGTGCCTAGCTTTGTTCCAGCCCAGGGGCTGTAGAGGAGGCCCACACCTGGGCCCTGACTTTCTTCTGCTCCCTGCTCATCCCCTCTTGTCTCAGGCCACAGAACCCGGGACCTTCCTCTTGGCCCTCACCAGCCTCATCCTACCGGTGGCCTACAGTTTCCGGCCAGACCTGGTGCTTGTGGTGCTGGGGCCAGACTGTGGCCTCCGCAGCCTGGACATGGAGCTGCTCACCAGGCTGCTCCAGGGGCCAGTGGGGGGCCGAATGCTGCTGCTGCTGCAGGTGGGTGAGAGACCCTTGTCTGCTGCATCCCCAGGGCCCAGCCTCCTGATCAGACCCCCTAAGATGGAGGGGCAGCCACTCCACCTTGTACCCAGACCAGAATCCCCTCCATCACAGTCCTGACAAGTAGTCATCCAGTCTTTGCTTGAAGGCTTCCAGGGACAGGGAGCTCACTACCTCTCCAGACAGGCCTTCCCCTTTGGGGACAGCTCCAAGCATTGGCCGGTCCTTCCTAACATCAAGCCTAAATATGTCTCTGCAATTCCTGTCCCCTGAAGGAGGTGACCCTGAGAAGCTGAGCTCCCCGCCTTCACCCTCTGGGCTCCTGAGCCGTGGGGAGGGGGGGCATGCGTCAGCTGTCTTTCTCTGGCCACAGAACTCTGAGCTCCCATGGGTAGAGGCTCTGGCCTGGGCCCTGGAAGGCCGGGCCCTCCCCAGCACCCTGGGTCCCTTCCTTTCGGCCTCCCCGAAGCAAGCCTTGGCCATAACCCGCCTCTGCCGGCAGCGGCAGCTGGACTGGCCCATGTTGCAAATGTCTGGTGAGTGTGGGGGGAGGGGGAGTCCTCATTCTTAGAGGGGCAGGGCCTTGGGGGAGGGGGGCCCAGTCTGTGCTGACCTTCACTTGCTCTGTGCTCGCTTCAGTGACCTGAGGCACCTCCCCCATCCGCCCGGTCCTTGGGGCAGGTGATCCCCGAGACCAGGGACCAGCAGGGCCGCTGCCCGAGAATCATCGCCGAGGCTGACAAATGGAGCCAAGATGCCGAGCCTGGCAGCAGACGCAGCCCCCTCCCCCACTCCCTGCCCACATGACCTTGGGCGAGTCACTTCCCTGGGCTCTGGGCCGCCTTCGTTTCCTCCTTTGTACAATGTAGGAACTGGACTATCTGATCTCTCAGTTCCGAATGGTCTCGGGGTTTAATAAAAATAAAAACAGCCAGCATGTACGTTGGTTTTAAGGTTTGCAGAGGCTTTGGATTAAGCGCCTACTGTGCACCAGGCACTGTGCTAAGCGTTGGGGATACAAAAAGAGGCAAAGACAGTCCCTGCCCTCAAGGAGCTTACAATCTAATGGGGGAGCCATAAGCAAACAAGAGCAAGTCCTACCAGGATAAATAAGTTATTAACAGAGGCGTTGGGGAAGGCCTCCTGCAGGAGGTGGGGTTTGAATTGGGCCTCACAGGAAGCCAGGGAGGTCAGCAGTCAGAGCAGAGGAGGAAGAGCATTGCGGGTGTGGGGGATGGCCAGGGGCTCTTGAGCCTGGAAACAACCCTGGGAGGGAGCTGCTGTTTTTATCCTCATTTTACAGCTGAGGAAACTGAGGCAGGCAGAGACTAAGTGACTTGCCCAGGGTCACCCTGCTGGCCTGGGCTTCCTGACTCCAAGCCCAGCGCTCAGTGCGCTGTGGCACCCCCTCGTGTCACTTTAGTTGGAACCACAGCTCATCCTTGGGACAATTAAAACCTGAAAAAATGACCTGTCTCTGACCCTCAGGGGGCCTGATTGGACTCAACAGGAAACAAACTAAGCCCCTACTGTGTGCACTGTAACAAAAAAGTACATGCCTACTGTGTATTCTTTGTTTTTCTCCCAGTCTCTCCCCTGGGCTTGTTTTCCCCCAAAAAGTCTTGGCCCACTCACTCATCCATCCATCCATCGTTAATGAGTGCCTACTAGGTGCTGAGCTTTGTTTTGAGTGGGAGACACGATTTAGGCTCAGGCTGCCCTGCCCTCATGGGCCTTATAGTCTCTAGGCTCTATAGTGGGAGTAGTACTGGAAAACAGGGAGCCCTGCAGGGCTTGCTCGCCCCAGAGTCTAGGAAGGCTTCCCGGAAGAGGCGGCAGTGACTAGAGACCACAGTGCTCCGGGCATCTGGATCCACGTGAGCAAAAGACTGGCCGTGGGAGAACACAGTGCTTTCCAGGGGCGAACGGGGCTCTGAATGCCAGGCACAGGACTTTGCCTTCTTTGGGAGCGCTGCGGGTCTGGGGCGACTTCCTGAGCTGGGCAGTCTGGCCGCTTCTACTTTAAAATTTCCCCTAGTTCAGGTCTTCACTTCGGCCTTGGCGAGAACCTTCCCAGCAGACACTGCGGTAACCAGGTCAAGTTTAAAGAGGGGGTGGGGCTGCCTGGGTCCCGTGGTCTGGAGTTGTGCGCGGGCCTAGTACACTGATAGGCCTCCGGGATCACGTGCTTCGGCGTCGTGCGCAGGCCCAATAGGGCCTCCTGGGTCACGTGCTCCGGCATCGCGCGCAGGCCTCTACCGTGCCAGAACCTCCCGAGTCATGTGATCCCCCCCACCGCCCGAGAAGCGCGGGCTCCGCCTGAACGCCACTGGCGTGCTGACGTCACCTGCGTCTCGCGTCATCAGCCTGCGCCCGCGTAGGGAGCCGCTCCATGCCGGCCGCTGTGGTGAGTCTGCTTTTAAGCTGGGGATTATGGGGCGGGGGCCGGGCTGCGGAGTCCTCGGAGATCCGTGTGTCGGGACCCCACCCCCCCGCCCGGGGCCTAGGGGCGGGCCCCCCCCCCAGCCCGGGCCGGAGGGGCCGGCCCCCCCCCCTCGGGCGGCACGTCACCCCCCCGCCCCCTCGGGCGGCCCGTCACGCCCCCCCCCGCCCCCGAGACCGGCGGACCACGCTCTGGGAGGCAACCCCGGCCTGGGGTCAGGGACCTGGGGCCGAGGCCTTACTGCCGGTGC